GATCATTTCCTGCTATGCTTTGTCTTGCTGGGCTCAGTTCTGCAGTGTTGGTTGCATGATGTTCATGATGTTGATTCTCACAGATAGCACCCTTGGTGCAAAGGGTATTTTTCTTTTTTTCCTAATTCCTAATAGTTGGCGGTGCGGTTTATTTGCTAAAACAATGCAGCTGAATGATATTTGGTTTGGCAAAGCCGTTTTGTCTAGCAATATTTAGTTTGACCTGGTACAGTAATACGAGTGTCGTGGACCGGAAATTCTTTTTATCCTGCTGACTTCTAAAAACAGCTAGTTACGGAGTGTGTTCTCAGACTTCTCAGCTGACTTCTGTCCTTTTTATATACTTGAAACTTGAAGTGTATTTTTTGGAAAAGAATTTGTGACAATTTTTAAAAGCACTTTCCTTTCTAAGTGAGCTTTCGTGCCATTCTTTTTTCATGCATGGCAGATGCAGAGCGCCACATACAATCAAATCTCAGCTGTCAGCGTCAATGAAAACAAATATGCCCATCAGCTCCAAACCAGTTTGGTGCGATATGTGATCCTTAAATTCCATGGAAATGAAATGAGACTCGTAGCTCCTGTGACCTCGGCGCTTCGTACCTCGTTGACGCGGCTTCACCGCGAACCATCTATATCAATAAGAAAAAAGATATATCCTCTGGACCCCAGGATAGCCATGCAATACAAATGTAAGCAGACTTCAGTACATACTTAAAGTGCAAAACTCCTTTTCTAAATGACTACACTGTTAATGATCGTTGCTTCTTGTAACAAAGAATCCTGGTATTGAAAATGATAATTCAAAAGGGTTACCTGTACATCGAATCCAGACTGTCCACAACATTATTATTAATTAATAAATATCAGAAAGTACAATCAATATGATAAATGTCTGCACCACTGGTAATCAAAGGTTAAACATGCCGTAACTTAGTTACACACAAACTACTCCATGCTATTCTTTACAACACGTGCACCTGGTTATGAGAAGAAAAATTACTTCTTAGACGCTACTATGTTTAAATTCGATTCCATTTAGATCACAATTTCGTGAAAGGTGTACCATGAACATTGCGGTTCATCACTCAACAAAGGTTTCTGGGAAATCTCAGTCGATTTTCAAGGACTGGTATCCTTTAATGTTAATACAAATCGGTGCAGCATGCAGAACCAGCTAGCGCTAGCGGGCGCCTGAACACATTTGGATCACGAATTTGTGCACGGTTTTCGAGTTTCTTTGAATTGTAGGTCTTTGTGACACAGCTTACAGTACACTCGACTCGTCTTGGTATTCAATTCTTCTCTGACGTTTTCCATTCTGACGTTCAACCATTGATTACCATTCTTTTGCGAAATCAACTATTTGTACGTGTGTTGATGCGCAATCTTTCCTTCAAAAAAAATATTATATACTGTTGTGTACGTGTTATCCGTTGTCCATCACTTTACTTGAAAAACTCTTATCTCCGTTCCCTATCATCACTATATACAGAAAGATGTTCCTTGGCAAAAACACGAGGACCCAACTTGACATCTCTCCCGCCATGTTTGAACTAGTTCCAGTGAGGCCGTGATTTGTACCACGTGAGGCTATTGAACCAATAGCAATTTGGGGAATTTTTCCGATTTCACTTGACTCAAGGCTGTTCATGACTCTTCTTGCACTCCTTCTATGAAATATTTTAAAATGTTCTTTACGAAATGTCTGTTTGCAAGTTTTGTTCAAGAACCGTTAGACACTAGTGGCGTGGGTTGCACAATACAAAGGTAGGAGTTCTTTCCAATTTTACCCCCTGGGTCAGGTGCGAATTCCTCGCAGAACCGCCGCCCGTGCAAATTTTGTAGTCATAAACAAAGGTGCTGGACAGTTCTATCTGAGCTCTGATACGAGGAAGCGTCCAATCTCAATACTTTTTTCCTGAGTTGGAAGCAACGAACAGCAGTAAAAGTCGTTGAAAATGCATTGCAATACATCAAAATGTATGCAGCGGGAGTTTGAGCCAAAACTGCCAAGGGATATTTTAAAAATGTCGAAGAACAAGTCATTCTACTTCAGAGCAAGGTTTGGAGCAATTTATAGTGCTTCTAAAACTAAAAAGTACCTTTTAAAGAATAGCACGATAGGCAATCGGCTTTCGTTTTAAGAATTAGCAAACGTTGAATTTACTTGTCCCGAAAATTCAAACTGATGGCTCCTTCTACCTGATGGTAATTTATTTTTGAAATTCCAAAACAATTTCACAGCTGAATTTTGAGCGACTTTTAGTTACGGACTTTTGCTCCAACGATTTTTCTGAAATTCCTCTGGCATATTTATTATATCAATTAAAGCCGATACCAGAAATTTCAGTAAAAAATATCAGCAAAATTTTTTACTAGACGCGATTTTCTTTGAACAGTAGGGTCCTTTCAAGCGCTAATTTCTCAAGAAATATTTACCATCAATGAAATCGGAATATTTCGTATTATTGCCGAATGATAACTGTTGTTCTTTGCAAAGTTTCGCAGCCATCACGTTAAAAACCAAAAAGTTATGACGGAAAATTTGTCACAGCTAAATGCTCTTGTATTAATTACGGAGCCACCTTAACAAAATGACACCAATTAAACAGTATTGTTGAATTTTTGTTCCCTTGTTGTAATTTTGAACTATGATTTCAATGTGCCACTCGTTATTATCATGGGATATTCATGGTTAGTACACCATGATGATACAGTTAATGTATTATTCATGGTTTACACATCATGAAAATACTGTTAAAATGCTTTTCAGGGCTTGATTCATGGCATTTTCATGGAGCTTATCTGAGTTCATGGCTTTTTAATGACACAGTGGTGTTTTGGCTATTAGAGCATTAAAATGTAATTGAAATACCATTAAAAAATAATGGCCAAAATTTGGGGTACTTTTCAAAGCCTCTTCATGGCCGTGAAAACTGTTACCCCATGAAAAAATGACCATTAAAATGCCATAAAAATAGCACTTCTCCATCCCAAGAAAACAATGGGTTTTTCAAAACAATGAAAACCCTGTTAACGATATGCCATGAAATAACCACGAACTTTACAAAATAATGGATTTATCAAGGCCATGAAAGGTACCATAAACCATGGCCTTTTTCATGGGTGTTTCATGGTTTTTAAACCATGAAATTCCCATGTTTAAACCATGATTATGCCATATCATCCTCTTAAAATACTTTAAAAATGTGCTTAAAATGGCCTTACAAATTCATGGCTTTTTCACAGAAACTGAGTTCATAGTGTTACGATAGGTCAACACGTTAAATTCAAAGTTAAAATTCAAACGACCCTAATAAACAAATTACATCTATTGCTCGGAAAGTTCTGTACCTTGAAGCGACCTTAACTTTCCTTAGGTTTGCAGCAAAACATTAGTCGATCAAGTCGATCTTAACTCTTCGGCCGTTGTTTCAGCTATGGGCAGCTATATGTTGCGTATTCCATACTCTGCGGAGAAAAATTGTTTAAAGGAAAAAGCAAAACACACACCCTGTCCTGAAAAGCGACTTAAAATCAATAAAGTTGCGGATTACCAAAATATAATAGTGAGAAAAAATTATCCCGCCTTCGACCGACATGATTTTGATCCGTCTCAAAACCGTTGATCTTTGGTTTATGTTGTAATGCAATGATCAGTACACAAGTCCGCTGGGAAGACTCTTGATGATTGCTTTGCAAGTTGGGAGAACATCGTTTTGATTTCATTTAAGAGAATGTATGGGAAGTAGCTCCCCCCCCCCCGGTATCTGACATTCTGCAAGAGCAGTCACTTTTCTCAGCTAATGGAAGAAAATCTTGAAACGTCGTCTGCTCTTGTAGGCTGGCCACAAGACAGTAAGAAAAAGAGTGCAACTTAAAAATTTAAATTCAATGTTTATTCCACGCGGCGATAAGGTCTGGTGAGCAAAAATGAGTCCCTTTCCTCTTTCTTTCTTCTGGCGCTTCCTCTTCTTGCTTGTTTGATCACAGTCATAGACATGTCGCTGCTGGGATTGTGGTCCGAAAATTTGAAACGCTCCTCCACGTGGAATCCTACAAAATGAAATAGGCGATGTTGATGGTAACCTTGGTCCCCGAAGCCGACAATCCCAGAACAGACCAAACCCTTGTACATTTAGCGCGTTCTTATTAGTGAGGGACCCTGATTAACATTTGCTTGCGTCAACATGCTTATGTCGAAAAAAATAGGTGTCCTAGCTGTTATGGAGAGGTAAAAGTATTATAAAATCTTTGTCGAGTTCACAAACAAAATTGTCGAGTAGAGAAGTAAAAACTAATTAAAATTTTTGCGTTGAAGATTACCCCAAAGTTTTTCCTTTAGAAAGTGATTCCAAATTTACAGGTTAAAAAATATTTAACATCCATCTCAAAAATGTTTGATATTCTTGTTTAATTTATTCCCCAAATATTTCCAGTTTTCAAAAATGCTCACGTGAATGGTCAAAATGTAAAGTCTATCAATGTGCCCACTTCCAATTACGTTCCAACCTTCTTGTCAAAGAAATCGCCAAAAAAAACCTTTTCCCATTATTCCAAATTATTGACCCGATCCGGGAAGAAACCTTGCCTCTGACTTGATTCAGCAGGTTACGCAAGTTTAAGTCGGAAAATTATTTGAGTCAAATACGTTTAGCCGCCCTATGTTATCTATATCTCTTCACTGACATGAGCCCACGTCAGCCATTTTCTTCTTCCTTGAGATGTCAATATGTTCTTATAAATAAACAGGATAGCACAGTTAATAATGTTTTTGTATCTGCCACTGCATGCTCGGCACACGAGCTAGGCATTTTCCCATATTTTTCCATTTAATTTCTTTCCAGAAAGCTGGCACGAAGGTGACATACACGGCTAAAAGACCAAGAGACGATAAGCCGCATCGTATCCTTGGCAACGCCCATCACAGTCTGGGAGATTTTAAAATAGCCATAGACTACCAAAAACGTCGCCTGAAAACTGCGAAAGACCTAGGTGACCGATCAGGAGAAAGAACCGCGTGCGATAATCTTGCTAACGCCTATTACAGTCTGGGAGATTTTAAAACAGCCTTGGACTACCGTAAACGTACACTGAAAATTGCGAAAGAATTGGGTGACAGGTCATGGGAAGCGATTGCGTATAGCAATCTTGGTATCGCCCATGACAATCTGGGAGATTTTAAAAGAGCCAAAGACTGCCATGAAAGTCACCTGAAAATAGCGAAAGAATTGGGTTACAGGTCATGGGAAGCAATTGCGTATGGCAATCTTGGCATCGCTCATAACAGTCTGGGAGATTTTAAAACAGCCATAGACTACTATAAACGTACACTGAAAATTGCGAAAGAGTTGGGTAACAGAACAGGAGAAGCAAACTCGTATGGCAATCTTGGCAACACCCATCACAGCCTGGAAGATTTTGAAACAGCCAAAGACTACCATGAACGTTGCCTGAAAATTGCGAAAGAACTGGGTGACACATCAATAGAGAGAAATGCGTATGCCAATCTTGGCAACGCCCATCACTGCCTGGGAGATTTTAAAACAGCCAAAGACTATCATGAACGTTTTCTAAAAGTTGCGAAACAATTGGGGGACATGCCAGGGGAAGGACAAGCGTATAGCAATCTTGGCAATACCCATTGCAGTCTGGGAAATTTTAAAACAGCCATAGATTATCATCAACGTCACTTGAAAACTGTGAAAGAACTGGGTGACAGATCAGGGGAAGGAAAAGCGTATAACAATCTTGGTAACGCCCATTACAGTCTGGGAGATTTTAAAACAGCCATGGACTACTATGAACGTAACCTGAAAATTGCGAAAGACCTAGGTGACAGATCGGGAGAAGGAGCCGCGTACAGTAATCTTGGTAACGCCTATTACAGTCTAGCAGATTTTAAAACAGGCATGGACTACCATCAACGTCACCTGAAAATTGTGGAAGAACTGAGTGACAGATCAGGTGAAGGAAAAGCGTACAGCAATCTTGGCAATGCCCATCAAAGTCTGGGAGATTTTAAAACCGCCATAGACTACCATCAACGTCAACTGAAAATTGCGAAAGACCTAGGAGACAGATCAGGAGAAGGAATCGCGTACGGCAATCTTGGTAACGCCTATCACAGTCTGGGAGATTTTAAAACAGCCATGGACTACTATGAACGCGACCTGAAAATTGCGAAAGACCTAGGTGACAGATCGGGAGAAGGAACCGCTTACAGTAATCTTGGTAACGCCTATTACAGTCTGGCAGATTTTAAAACAGGCATGGACTACCATCAACGTCACCTGAAAATTGTGGAAGAACTGAGTGACAGATCAGGTGAAGGAAAAGCGTGCAGCAATCTTGGCAATGCCCATCACAGTCTGGGAGATTTTAAAACCGCCATAGACTACCATCAACGTCACCTGAAAATTGCGAAAGACCTAGGTGACAGATCAGGAGAAGGAATCGCGTACGGTAATCTTGGTAACGCCTATCACAGTCTGGGAGATTTTAAAACAGCCATAGACTGCCGTCAATGTCACCTGAAAATTTTGAAAGAACTAAGTGACAGATCAGGGGAAGGAAAGGAGTATGGCAACCTTGGCAACTCCCATCACAGTCTGGGAGATTTTAATACAGCCATGGACTACCATGAACGTCACCTGAAAATTGCGAAAGAATTGGGTGACAGATCAGGAGAAGGAACCGCGTATGGTAATCTTGGTAACGCCTATTTCAGTATGGGAGATTTTAAAACAGCCATAAACTACCATCAACGTCACCTGAAAATTGTGATAGAACTTAGTGACAGATCAGGGGAAGGAAATGTGTACAACAATCTTGGCAATGCCCATAACAGTCTGGGAGATTATAAAACAGCCGTTGACTTCCATAAACGTACACTGAAAATTGCGAGAGAACTGGGTGATAGATCTGGGGAAGGAGCTGCTTATGGCAGTCTTGGAAACGACCATCACAATCTAGGAGATTTTAAAACAGCCAAAGTTTACCTTGACCTTTGCCTGAAATTTGCGAAAGAACTGGGTGACAGATCGAGAGAAGGAATTGCGTATGCCAATCTTGGAAACGCCCATCAGGGTATGAGAGATTTTGAAACAGCTATAGACTACTATGAACGTCACCTGGAAATTGCGAAACAACTGGGTGACATATCAGGGGAAGGAAAAGCGTATAACAATCTTGGTAACACCCATCGCAGTCTCGGGCATGATGAAACAGCCATAGATTACCATCAACGTCACTTGAGAATTGTGAAAGAACTGGGTGACACATTAGGGGAAGGAGCGGCGTACGGCAATCTTGGCAACGCCTTTCGATGTCTAGGAGAAATTCAAACAGCCATAGACTACCATGAACGTGCACTGAAAATTGCTAGAAAATTGAATGACAAAGTGGGTGAGGGATTAGCATGTTCCTTCCTTGGTTTTGATTTTCAATGTCTAGGCCAATTTCAAATGGCTATTAAATATTACCAGCTCGCTATTAAATTGTCAAATAATCTCAGAGATCGTCTTCAATTTAACGACGACTGGAAAATAAGCTTCCGTGATCAATACCAGACGATATACGCGGAACTTTGGCGCTCGTTGTTAGCAGATGGCAAGGTTACGGAGGCTTTGTTTTCTGCTGAGCAAGGACGGGCACAGGGTCTTAAAGACCTTATGACATTAAATTATTCATTTGAAGCGAATGATGTACGACGAGTAAAAGAAACTGGAACCTTTCATGAACTGTCGAGTTTTCTTCCTGTTAATACAATATTTATGGCGATGGGATGGAAGGAAGTAATTTTCTGGGTTTTTCAGAAAGGAAAGGACGTTAAAGTAAGATGGAAGCAAATCAGTTCACAGGATGATGTCAAAACTTCACAGAATGAAGTCAAAACTTTCTTACAGTCGCTTGTGAATAAAATTGGTCCTCGTGATTATGTGAAGTGTGAAGATCGCTCACTCGAGTGGGCGAAGGATAAAAGACTGGCATTTGAAAGATCACCACAGGATGGGAGACAAATCCAGCCCTTACGTCGTCAAGAAGAAGCTTTGAGGGCTTTGTACGACACTGTCATTGTTCCTATTCAGGATCTATTTTCAGGCAGTGAACTCGTATTCATTCCAGAAGGTCCACTTTGCTTAGCTCCTTTTGCTGCATTCATGAGTCCCGATTCCAAATACCTTTGCGAATCATTCAGCATCCGTGTAGCCCCATCCCTCACAAGCTTGAAAATGATTATGGAATGTCCGGTAGATTATCACCACACCTCGGGCGTGCTTCTTGTCGGAGATCCGTGGGTGCAAGCTGTGACAAAGCTACCGACGTTGCCATTTGCCAGAAAGGAAGTAGAGATGATTGGCAAAATTCTTGGTTGTTCGCCTCTTATTGGAAGACAGGCCACGAAGGATGAAGTGTTAAAACGACTCGGTTCTGTTGCTTTGGTGCATATTGCCGCACATGGCGAAATGGAAACGGGCGAAATTGCCTTGGCGCCAAAAAGTGGTGAGACAGATTTCATTTTGACGATGAAAGATGTGAAGAGTGCTCAGATTCGAGCAAGATTGGTCGTACTCAGTTGCTGTCATAGTGCTCGTGGCGAAGTCAAAGCAGAGGGAGTAGTCGGTATAGCACGGGCATTTTTAGGTGCTGGTGCCCGTTCTGTTCTGGTATCATTGTGGGCAATTGACGACAAGGCCACTCTTGAGTTTATGACAAATTTCTACCACCATCTTGTGAAAGGAAAAAGTGCAAGTAAAGCCCTTAAGCAAGCAATGAACTGCATGAGAGAATCCGAAGAATTTAGCCGCGTAATTGACTGGGCGCCGTTTGTACTCATTGGTGATGACGTCACATTAGAATTTGGCGAGAGTAAATAGATCACCCATAGTGTAGAGGTAACATTGTTTTCTATTTGACGCTCTACAACCCGATTTTCTTATTGTTCGGTTTCAGTTTCACATTTTGAACTGTTCAGGAGTAAAATTCCCTCCACAAAAACCATACCTGTCACATTACAGAACACTAACAGTAATTTATCTGTTAACTGAGTTCCTCTAAAATAGGCCAGTTTCTTGGACGTTGCGATGAACAACTTTGCGGACGAAGTCAATTTTTATTGCTCACTCCCAGTATTGCGCTGATTACTCTGGCGTGCAATTGAGCTAAATTTAGTGCTCCTCGCTTCGACGAAGGAAAAAGATCCATTATCATTGTTTGTTGTCTAAGCAAATATCAATGATGAATGATATTTATGTGCTAAAAAGTTTCCCCAGTAAGAGCAATTTGGTTGACAAGTTCGTTTATTTTGACCAAATCGCTCAAACTTTACGCAATGAGTAGTTTAAGACACTTGACACAATTTTCTTTGAATACCTTGCCCGGATTTGGTTTGGATCACAGCTATTTATTCATATTTTCAAATCTTCTACCTTGTAAGTCTCGTAAGCCAGTTGTTGGGTCTCGGTTAGTCGAACCTTTAGGACGCAGCGTTATCACAAATAACGACCCCAATAAATAATAAGAGTACTGGAAGTTTATTAGTCAAGAATGATTTTACTTGACCCATGAAATAGGAAGTAGAATACTGCGCACTATTATGCACTAATTCCATTGTCTTTGTTTGTTTCCCTCTTGCTCTTTTGCATTCTTTGTTAGTATCTGTTTCACAGTTCAAATAAAATCATTCCAATATTTTTTTTTTCCTTCTAGGTGCGGTCAAAGGATCTGTTTTACTCTATGAAGCAGCTAAGAAGAAGAAAGTATTAGTTTAGGAGGAACTTATGAAGCTCTTTCCTGTTTAAGGTTACATGTAGCAAAACTAGATTCTGCTATCATATATCTTTAATAAGTTTTCTACTCATATAAAGATTCATTTTCTTGCTTGCGGAAGCTGAAAATTTAAGTATCAAGTCAGCTTTAGTTTTGTAAGTAGTTGGGTGCTGTCAACTTCCTCGATAAAATGGCGGGAAATTTGGCAGGTTTTTGTCAGAATCACTTGAGGTTTTCTTTCTTCCTTTTAGACTCGACAACGAGAAATTAGTATCTTCCTGTTTTGTTAGTATCCTCGTACAAACGAACTGTTGAATATCCTGTAAAGTCATCACCTTCAAGGCTTTTCGTCTGCCTATAAGATATACTCAAATTTGTTCGCTGCAAACATAACACAAAAGTGTGAACTTGTGGGAAATCAATGGCAAAGAATCCTAAACATTGCATTTGCATGCTAATTAATTTACTTGGGTTTGTAAAGTCATGCGTTATTTACCATTTTTTCTCCAGATTTCCTCTTAGTTTGCACTTTTTGCATCTGATCTTCCCCGAGCAAATCTGGTGGAAACCCAATTTTTCGTGCAATGAGGACCTTCAATGGTCGATAAAAGCCCTGGGTCAGTTATGTGAGAAACTTAAAACTTGATACGTTGATGTACACTAAGCCCAGCCAAAACCCAATATTGAAACTTTAGAGAAATTGTGGGAATAAGTGTTCAACATATTATATTTGGAATAGAGGAGAGCTAGTCAAGTGTTATTTCATTTGTGCACGACTGTTTGTTTGGCCTGTGTAAAATGCGTCACTTGGACAAGCCCATAATCGTAATAATGGTCACAAACCTTTCGATAAAAAAAAAAAATCACGGCAAGAAAAAAACAAACTTCGCGCGAAAATAGAAGGAATTTAATCTTAAGAGTTATCTAGTGTCAGTGGATATGTTGTACTGGTGAAAAAAAAGGCTTTCATTGTGAGGTTATTTTAAATCAGAGACCCATGACTCTCTGTCTACATATAATGTAGTTGAACTTCGTCACCTTGTACGAGCGCTCGCAAGGCAAGGAATATTTTACAAAAGAAGTAGAAACTCAAGTCTACTCGAAAAGATACTGGGCAAGCCAAGACCAGAGAGAAGATTTCCGCAGTTTTCTTTATATCGACGAAACTTAGTGAGAGAACAAAAAGAGCAATGACTCTGGTGGGCGCAAGAAAGAGTCACCGCCCTGCAGCTTCCACTGACCCTTGGGCCTTTGCCTGACAAACCTCGGGAATTCGCGACCCTAGAGCTTGCGCACCCTATCTCTCCCCCCAGAAAACGCCAGTAGGCGCCCGGCTGTCGTTACCTGTACAAAAAAACTTACGTCACTGTTAGAAACTGTTTGCGGCTACAACTTTTTTTGGTACTTATAGCGATGACTGGCGAATAAGCGCGCTATTTGATGATATAAAACTTCATTATGCTTCACTGTCACTCTAAGTAAGGGAATCGGGGTTTCGGAATCCGGGAAATTTTTGCTTGTAGAATCCGGAATCCCACTAACTATTAGAATCCAGAATCCAAGGTCTACTGACAAAGAGTGGAAACCAGTACCTGGAATCCGGAATCCACGCAGAATCCAAGACTGTCCTGGATTCCCTTACATGGGTTGATTTATTAGGATATTCTTAGCGCAAAAAATGTGAATTCTTTGCTCATTTAGCAGCCATCAAGCTTTATCACCTTCCGGTAAATCAATCAGATCACTCTCATGTTCAAAATTAAATGAGATAAAAATGGACCTTTATTTTTAGAATGCAATTGATGCAAAGACACGTTTTAGCCTTTAAAAGAATGCGGAAATCAAATTAAGGAAGTTGTTGAAACAGCGGAAGCAATAAATAATAGCAACTGACAAGCGAACCAGATGACGTCACAACTTTTGACCCAGTTTCTTGATTCGTCCCAGTAATTTGAAATTTATAAAATTCCTTAAGAAACTTCAGTGTAAATTTAAAGTCTTCTCTACTGCTTCTTCTTGTGCAAAAAACCCACTCAGTTTCTTACCCGTGAGAGGCTCACGAACAGAACTCGGCAATCAGTGAAAGATTCCGGCAATTCTACTTTTTTACAAAAAGGTCAACTCTGCTAGTTAAAAACACCAGAAAAACTAAGTTTCTGCATTCATTTTCCATAGAACAAAATGGCAAAATTGTTACCTTTTTTGTCTATGCTTGTCGTTTAGGTTAGATGTTAAGAAAAGGTACCTTTTTTGAAAAAAAAGTCAGGTATTTTCAGCTTTCGAGTGAATGATATTTTGACGTCAATATTGTCCGCTCTTCATCCATTTCTCACTTTACCAAACGATGTTTTAAAGCGCAAAAGAGGTACCTTTTTTTTGGTTTTAAGCAATCTCATGAAAGGCACAAAAAGGAAGCTTTTTTTGCAGTTGGAAGCGATGTTCTCAAAAGCGCGAAAAAGGCACCTTTTTGGCAGTTGGAAGTGATGTTCTCAAAAGCGCGAAAAAGGTACCTTTAATAGTGTTTTCAAGCCGTGGGAAGCCATTTAGAATCCTACTGATTGACAGATGTCATAGGTGTCATTTTTATGAATTTTTTGTCTGAATTTACTATTCCACTAGTCAAGAGATAAATATTCCCTGTTTATTCGCCACGTTTGAAACCAATTGCTGAGCTTGACACTGTAACATGTACAGTGTCAGGTCGCAGTTTTAAAATCTATCCCCCTTGCTTGATTTTGGCATGGGTGTGAGTCATCTTCATCAGTCTTGGAGTGAAGCTGGAAGCATTGTCGCTGGTTCAGTGGTTATCAGTGAATGACAGGTGTTAGTTATATCAGTAACCTGAAGAGAAGCCGAGCCAGTCTCTTGTGCATTTAAAATGCTTTTTTGTTTCTTCGCTAAAATGCTTTACCTTAATGCTCCATTTTTTCGAATAACATGCTCACCCTAAAAACATTCACTAAAATGCGCGATGATACGATGATGATCCGTATGTATTAAAAAACAACAAGAATGTATGTTAATGGATTTAATACACCAAAAGACAATTGTCCAAACAGTGGCATTTGAATTTTTTTTTTTTATTTTGACTCTTGAGAGTTTATTTTCTATTTAAAAATTTCTAATTTTCATTTCTCCGAAAAAAAAAAACCCGGGAGATTCCACCAAAGTTCTCGAAAAAAATGCTAGCTGGCTTACTGCACAAAAGTATAAGAAGAGGGAAGTTGTTCAGGCTTACTCTTAGTATTTACTTAGGGGGTGTCAGAGGTACATGTATGGTGGAATTTTTACTGTTAATGGCTTTACTTCGGCCTGTAGCTCAAAAAACACCTGAAGTTAAATTATTTATATAATTTATATCATAGCAAACAAAAATAACCCCAAGACTGAAGTCTCTAATGTAATAACCTTTCTGGAGTGAAAAACATCACCCAGGAAACAAGACATGCAGTTATATTAAAATGACCTGCTCGGAACCCGCTTAGTAACCCGCTTAGTTTAGACTTAAAAGGAAAATGAACACCTTTGCTTTACATGTAGGACTTCTTTCAGGTTAAAGTATTTGCTCCACGCTTAAACTTGCGCTTCCTGAGCTTCTCTTCTTGCATCTAGTTTTAAAGTACCAGAAGTTGTTACTAACATTTTCAGGAGCCATTTTATCCATTTGGCTGGTGGCTAGTATTAGTAGAATTAGTAGAATTGCCGGAACCTTTCACTGAAATCAGTGAAAGGTTCCGGCAATTCTACAAAAATTATTATATAAATAATTTAACTTCAGATGCTTTTTGAGCGAAAAAATGGAGCATTTAGGTAAAGCATTTTAGGGAGGAAACAAAAAGCGTTGGGATGCACAAGAGACTGACCTCTCTTCAGGTTACTTATAACTGACACCTGTCATTTAATGATAACCACGGAACCAGCGATAATGCTTCCATCTTCACTCCGACACTGATCAAGATGGCTCACACCCATGCCAAAATCAAGCAAGGGGGATAGATTTTAAAACTGCGACCTGACACTGTACGTGTTACGGTGTCAAGCTCAGCAATTGGTTTCAAACTTGGCGAATACACAGGGAATATTTATCTCTTGACTAGTGGATTAGTAA